GTGTGAGTGAGTGTGTGAGTGTGTGTCTGTAGTCCGTGTGCCTTATGTCTGTGTATGTGTAATGTGTGTGTCTTAGTATGTGTTATATTTGGGTAAATCAACTTTATTTTCGAAGTCATTTTTTACTGCATATAAAAAGAAAGTACTTTCACTCTCTGATGAAGAAACATAGCAGCACAGGATGTTTCGTTTAGTTATTGGTATGGTTGTTAATTTTGATGGAGCTCTTATCAAAAGTTAGTTAAAAGCTGAACTTGTTTTTTTTCCGCTTTTTTCTTCTCACTCTTTTACTCTGTTACTTTTTTTTTTGCTAACTTATTACCAATTTTCGACAAACATAAATTTTACAGTTTTTATTGTCTTCTCTTAACAGTCTCGTTTAAATCAAAAAATTTTTTTTATTTTTCTTTTGCTTGCTTGCTTATTTGTTGTTGCTTTTTAGTTTCTTTCATTGCAAACTTTGTTTATTGGTTCAGTTAAGTTTAGTCAATCGATGAGATAAAAAAAAAAGGAAAAGCAACAAATAGAGGAAGAAAAAAGACATTCAGTTTAATTTCTGTAATAAACAGCGCTTAATGCAAAAGTTTTCTATTCCGCCAAAGTGACCGTTGCAAGGAAGCGTTTTTTGTTTCAAAATGTCAGTTTCGTCATTATGGAAGTTGAGGTTCAGTTGTCAATGTGGCAAATTGAAGTGAATAATTGATAAATTAATTCTGGAGTGTTGTTGATGCAGAAGTTTTCTAAAGTCGGTTTGTGTTCGTGAGTGGTTTGTGGTGGCCAAATAACAACAGCTATGGATAGGCAACAGAGGTTAGTTCTGAAATTAATGATAGTATTCATAAGTGAGGATGTTTCTTGGGAGTTTTTCCATTTTGGACATAGAGCGATTAAAAACAAAGTTTTTTCAAAAATTAAAGTTTTAAGCACTTTGGGCGCTCTAACTGGTGAGGATGAACGCAGAAGGTTGTCAGTACGATCCTCTTTACGGTTATACTCAACCTCAGACTCGACTGCCTTCTGCCCCCGACATAACCACGCTGACATCGTTCGCTCCGCAAGCACCGATTCCAGAATACCCATCTGCGTATGATCCTTATCGGTGATTCTTTATTTTTCGTATGACTGTGGCTTTCATTTTTTCTTTCTTTTTGCCAGTTTTACGGCAATGAGTTCTGCTGCTGTTGATTTTCATCGAAGCGAAAATAAATTGTTCACTTAACTACTAGCAAAAATCTTTGTTTTTTGTGATAAGAAAATTTTATAACTTGTTGTTTTCCTGTTTTTGTGTTCACTTTACTGATAAGCGGAAATATCGGTATTACTTTACTAGATTACACCTCTGAAGTTTACAAATTATCACTGTTAAAATTGTGCTAAAAGTTTCAAAATTTTTTGATAGCCTAATTTGTAGATGAATTGTAGGTATCAAACATGCTATCCTTCCTATTCACCGGCAACGGCACCTACTACATTTTATTCCTCAGATTTAACGCCATTTTCGGTACAGCGTGGCACCAGCGGTGTTAGGACAGAATTTGGTTTACCAAAAGATGTTGATATTAAATCCGAAATCGTTGATGCCAAAGAACATGGTAAGCACAAGACCAATTCTGCTCTATCATTTATTATCTTACGAAGTGTGTAAGATAATTTCCAAATTCTGTTTTTTTCACTATTAAATTTTTAATTCATTATTTGACTCTGTTTTCTTAATACACAGTCTTATAAAATTCTTTGCTTTTTCACTTCGTTCTTTATTGATTTATTACGATTTATTACGATTTATTATTTGATATTAAGAAAAAAATTTTTGGATTTTAAGATGTAGTTGGGAAAACTGCAAAACTATAAATAAAGGGAAAAGCTTAGGTTGAATAATCAAAGTTTATTTTGCAAACAAGTTTTGTTTATGTGAACATTGATGTCTATATAAGAAGATGATTAGTGCTTAATCCTAGCTCAAAGAAGGCTCTTCAACATTCACAAGCTCAATGTCTCAATTCAAACATCTGTAAATTTTACTTTTTGTTGAACCGCTTTTTACTTTCAAAAGAATTGTTCATGTATACCATCAAACCTCTATTACTGTCTGATTTATTTCTGCATTTATTCGGTTTGCCACTGTTTTGTTGAATTTTTTTTTTCCTAATTTTGCTAAAACCTAACACTTTTTTGTATCCTATAAACTTTTATGTTATTTGTCTTTCAAAAGCAGCCTGGCTACAAATACAGTTATTTTTGGTGTAGTTTTAGTTGTTGATCTCGGTGGCTCAACCTCAGAACTCTCGGATGCCCAAACTGATCTGCTACAAACGGGTTCTGACGTCGCTTCACAGCGACTTTCTTCACAGACCGTTGATGTTGCAACTGCTCCAAGGAGATGTCAGTCACTACTACCATTTTCATAATTTGTCTGTTCACTAAAAGTAAACTAGTTAGTTAACTGGTAACTGAAAAATTTATATCAAATGTTAGATAAAGGAGAAAAAGTTTCAGTAGACAGACGGAAGGCAGCGACAATGCGTGAGAGGCGACGTCTTCGAAAAGTGAATGAAGCTTTTGAAGTTGTTAAACAAAGAACTTGCGCAAATCCAAACCAGCGCCTCCCAAAGGTTACTCCCTCAGCTTAACTGTCCTGTTTACCGTAGGATGACAAAAAATATACATTATTTCATCTTTTTAAATTGCATTCTTAATCAGATTAAAAAAGGGAAATTTTCAGGTTGAAATTTTACGAAGTGCTATTGAATATATAACAAAGCTAGAAAATATGCTTCAAAGCCAAGGGAAAATGACAAAAATTATGGCTGCAAATCAAGGAATACACCTACCAGAAGGTGACAACCAGGAATATGTTGTAAGTTTATTTTAAGTTTTGAAGCCTTTATTAGTATAAGTTATAATGTAGATAAAACGTTCAAATTAGGAGATCATTTGCATGAGAACAGTTTAGGAAATTTTAACCAACCTAACTTCTTTTTTCTGTGGAGTACTGCAGAGTTCTGTGACTATTATTAAGCCATTATAAAATGCCTTCTTTCCAATGAATTAGAAGTACCGTAGTTTTATTTGATTTCTGTCATAAAGATGTTCCTGTACCACTTGGTGGATACCTTTTATGTGGAACAAGAGTTTTAGATAGTCAGTTTTATGGACTTAAGAAGACATTCGGGGAGGGCAGAGAAATTCCTTCTTTTGAAACTTGAAATAAAAAAAGCGCTATAGGCGGGATGGGGGGGGGGGATTGGGAGGAAAAAGTAAAGAGTGATTTATGATCCACCAGCTGCGTAATTGCTATTAAGGAATAACGAAAAGTTTTATTATATAACAGCTTAGCCGTATCGGGCCGTTCGTTTGTCTTGAATCGTCGGCATTTCAGCTGCTTGCATCTTTTAGCTTTTAAAACTTTCCAATTTTGTTCAAATCAAACAAAGCGCTAAAGCAAAATTGGCCCTTAGCGGTTCTAAATCTGCTGTTTAAAGGCTTACTAAATTCTGCTGTAGCAAAAAGAAATTTTTCTAGAGATATTTAGAAAAGATTTCATGGGTGTTCTGTAAGATTTTGATCTTGAAATTTTTTTTT